TATACAGTGATTGAATGATTGTCTGAAATTGTTTTCGAGCATTCATTCGACGTGTTTTGAGTGTCATGGTAAGTAGACTATTCTTGAGTGAGAATGGTTCGGAATAAAGATAGATATTGCTCATAGTTTCAAAATATTTAAGGTTATTTTCTTTAGCCAAACGAATTAAATCAGACAAAATAATCTGTTTCAATTCGTCTTCTTTGCACACTTCCGAAAATGTCATTGTCGCTTGTGCTGATTTAAAATTTTTTCGTACGTACTGTTCATCTGGAATGACAATGGCTACTACTGTTTCTTCTGTTGAAATTCCATCGACAAAAATCTGTGCAATCCATCGAGAACGCATATAAATATCTTCAAGACGTTCTGGAGCAACATATGTACCTTGACTTAATTTAAATATATATTTGGCACGATCAATAATGCGCAATGCTCCATTACTTGTCCATTCTCCAACATCGCCTGTATGTAACCAACCTTCTTGATCTATTGTTTCACGTGTCTTTTCTTCATCATTATAGTAACCTAATGAAAAATGACTAGCTTCTGAATTGTGAACAAATCACCCTGAATATCAGTTTCCTCTGAAGAATCATTTGTTTGAATTTCATTGAAAATTATACATAGAGAAGGGTTCCAATGAGACTAGTTTATTTTGAAAATTTCAGACTTTTGGTTGCTTCTATCTTAAGATACAAATAGACGAAAAATTCCGTTAATTTCAATTATAACAGAAAACATTTTATGTTCATTTTCAAGGATAGTAGCAATCAACAAATTCAAAACTTAAAGAATACGCTAGTCTCATTGGAACTTCTCTGTGGAACACTTCAAGATGGTATGCTCAAAAAGAGAATAAAATATAATATCTCACAAATGCAATTTTGAGAAACCAAAAAACTTCGCGATATTCTAATTGTTCACTAGAATCTATTGAAGTAATAAAGCACCGTTCAAAAAGTGACTTGACATCCCAAAAGATGTTATCATCAATAGCTACCTACTAACGAATAGATTTACCTTTGAAGACAGTCGGACCTCGAATGCAGATTTCGCCTTGATTCATTTCACTTCGATAATTCGTATCTGGTACATCGATTAGTTTGATTTCGACAGTAGCAACAGGCGAACCAATTGTGCCACAAGACATATCAGGAGCATGAGTACTGGTACCACAAGCTGTCGATTCTGTTTGTCCGTATCCAGTCATAATAGGTATATCGAGTGCAATACGAAAAAAATGCCATACATCAGCTGTCATTGGTGCTGCTCCAGTAAACATTGCTTTTAATTCACCACCGAATAATTCTTTGACTTTACGAAAAATCAACCGAGATAACCACCATGATTCTTCACTATTTAATGCTTGCTGAACAAGATATTGTTTTATCTTACTTTTACTAACTTCGATCATGACTGTATCGTAAATTTTGTTGAGAATACGAGGTACAACTGTAAGTTGAGTAGGTTTTACAATGGAAAGATATTCAACAAATTTTTCGGGTGTTGGACAAAATACTACTTGAGTACCGCGTAGAAAAACTCCCAGAAGAATGAATCGTTCGAATATATGAGCCAATGGTAATAGTGAACAATGTCGAATTGTAACGGATCCTTTGAGTTTAGCTCGTTCTAGACGAAGAATATTACCTTTTGATGCTGCCAAAAGATTTTCATGCGATAACATAACAATTTTAGGTTCACCTAAAAACAATGAATAAATTATTTTTATTCACGTTGAAGTCTTGATATTGCAGGAAAATCATTTCTTTTTCATAAAAAAAAATGAATCTCACCTGTTGTTCCACTTGTCATAATAAATGTTGCAATATTGTCTGGTTCGATGTTCGGTCGTTCACGTATATCATTGGTTTTCATTGTTTTCAAGATTGATGAAATACTTCGTATTTTACTCTGCTTATCACAGATTACGTCATCCATAACAATGATCTCCTTAAGTTGATCATTTTTCAATAGATCATTTTGAATTGATTGAATACGTTCAATATTATCCACAACAAGTACTTCAGCTTTAGTTCGATTCAATAGACTCATAATAGTCGCCGAATCATAACTAGTATAGAGATTCACAAGAATAAATCCATACATATAACAGGCTTGCTCAACAAATAAATATTCAGGTCGATTCGATGAAATAATCGCCACTTTTGACTGCATCGGTTTTAGTTTTGCAGATGTCCATAGATATGAACCAATGATGCGACTTCTTTCAATTACCGTTAAATAGGATAGCCATTGTATTGATTCTGTACTGTTCGATGATTGCAAAATGCCTACGCATTGACCATTGTTTGAAGCTACACAACCTTCATATAAAACATCACCGAGTGTACGTACATTTGGACAAATGGTTTTGTATAATGTCCAAATGTCAAGATCTTTGTAGAATGTACATCGACGAATATGTTCAACAGGATTTATTTCAACTGATTGCTGGTTCAAATCAATTCCATCATGATGTAATCTTTGAATACGTGTTTGATAAGTGCGTGTATTTATATATGTAACTGTAACTCCGCGAACAAGCTGTTTAGGAAATGCAGCTCTCGACTTTAATAATGCACGTAGCATCAAATGTTTTTGTAGATCAAATAAATTCTCAATGCAATCTATAAGACAAACTATAAATCAAAATAGATATACATCAAATCAAATCTTTTACAATTTAGAGTCTTTTAATACAATCGAAAGTGTGGAATCTTCTACAACATCACTAAAAGGAAAGAAAGCTTAAGTACGCAACTGTAGAACCTTGATCACCTCATCTATGTATAAAATATAAAAGAATTAGGAAGTAAAAACAGATTGAATTATATCTGATGTGAAAACTGGATTTTCATCAAAAATTTTAGTTTTATCTCGAATAAGAACTTGAAAAGTGTTCTAGTTCAATTTAAAATGATCAAGTTATCAAAAAAAAAACATTAATTTTATATTCACCACACCTGTGAACCTCAGAATTGAAGTGATCAATTACAAGTTCATTATCCTAGCAGTATAAGAATTGCGACATTTCTAATGATTAATGAATACTTTTCTCCACTTTTCTGACTCGGCAATAGGATACAGCTTGTTGGTTTCTCTTAGACATATAAAGCATGATCAGGCAGATCTAACACATTTAGTAAAGTAGAAACTCCACGCCATCTTCACTTAACTCTCAGTGCAATGGTGAAAACCATTGACTGACTATTTGTTGTCAACAACTAACATTTATTTTTTGAATAGCACATAAATTTATGTAATGACGAAGATAGATTCGAACAGTAAAAATCGCAGTACTCTACCTTGTTCCTATGAAAAGTAACTCCAAAAATACGTACTTTTAACTTCTTTTTAATGGGTATTTAATTCTAAAAAGATACGCAAACTACATGCATCTCTTTGCAGTATGAAACAAGCGAAAAAAGAATACCATGTGACTGCGATTGTTTCTGAGGTGTAAGGCATGTTTTTTTCTTCTTCGTGCTTGTTAATGAGTCCAAGAATACAAAAAGAAAGAAAGAGAAAAAATAGCTTGCGTACACAATTCGTTACACTACTACTTTTCGCAATAATGCTAGATAAGAATCATCAACAAAACACATCGCCTATGGGCACCATTTAAGGGAAAACCTGTGAAATAGAATGGAGGCCACAAAAAATCCATATAGGTGAACCAATGGAATTTATTTCTAGTAAAATATGGATCATTTATACTTCACAGATACTGAATCCTATCGGTGTTTCTAATAGAAATCTAAAATAAAAAAGTCAAATGACACTTTATTTTTGTCATCAAAGTGTAAAATGACAGTTCGTTTTTCTAAACACAGTATCACAAAGTTTCGAAGATTTATATTATTAGAATTGGATTTAAAAAAAAAGACAAATATTTCATATGAATTTATCAGAGCTTTCCTACTGGAAGAAAAGCTCATATCCTAATTTCGTGAAGTTTGGGTTTTTAGCAAACGAATTTTAAGTGTTTTAGTCATTTTTTTCCTTATTAATTCTAAACATATCACTGTATTCTAGAAATTCTGGTCGAATCTAAAAATATCCTCACCTCGGTCTTTTGAGTCGTCGTTCTCGCGTCCCCTTCTCTTAAACCTTGTAAACATCAAGACTATGGTGGCACTGTAACTTTAAAACTATTTTGACACATTACATCACTGTAAGCTTTAAAGTTGAAGTAGATTTTTCCACAAGAGTTTTTTTTTTTGCAAAAAGACAGTATTTCTTTCATTAAAAAATAATTTCTTTAGAAGGCAAAATTGTGAAGAAATTTAATTTAAATTTAACTTTTTGAAAATAAAAGTTTAAAGTGTTCTTATTTTTATTTTACTTCAAATGTATAGTTAAAGTGTTACGCTTAATGAAGATGTATTTTGTATACAGAACATTGCTTGTGGATGAGAGCATTGTGTCTAAAGTAAACTCGTACCAAGTATTCATATAGGTCGCCTAAAAAGCTGTGTCAAATATGAAAGAGTAACAAAATTTGAAAGACAGAAAAACGTTTCAATAAATCCAAAGTTTAACTGGCAGATGTCAGAATATCGAATACATCCCTATTGATCACAAAACTTAGAAGCTAGGATCGAGCTTATAAACGATGAAAAACAAAGTGTAAAATAGAGTGTCAAGCAAAACATGGTTTATTTGTGACCTTCATTGTGTTTCACATTATTTTCGTTTTTCGTTGTTTCTCTTAAACGGTGCCCACAATCATCAGACATCGATTGGCTGATACATGTGTTGTAAGGAGAAAATGTATTTCTATATTATTTATTTCACGATGAATCATTTTCACAAGAATTTCCTGTTGAGCTTTCTCGAAATTTTTCTTTGATAGCTAACGAAACATTCCTTGTCATACTGTTTTGTTTTCTGTCATTGATTTAAAACACTATTGATACGAACTAATTTGCCTACCAGTTTCAATAACTATTCCGAAGATTCTCTACGAGTGTAGGACGTGATTGCGGTGTCATATGCTTACACAGGGTATATGGGTGTGAGTATGCAGTGTGGATATTGACTTCATTAAAACTACATCTCACACCAGGAGCTGACAGGAGAATGATAACGAAGCGATTGTTTTTGTATTTTAGTTACTCAATTCCCTACTTCAGGAAGTTCGATACATTTCCAGAAAGCATCTACGTACGAGAATGTCATGAGGCCTACGCATCCTGTAGATGTTGATATATCCGCACCTGTAATAATTAAAATATTTTAATTACTTCACTTATTCAAAACTTGTTTTCGACTTAGCAGTGAACACGATAAAAGCTTTAGCACTACGAATCCAAACGGACAATTGCTCAAGCTTCTGATCGAGAATCCCTCGGGTGGACCAATAATTTCTTTTTTTGTGGGATCTTCATCAATTATACCTTGCGCCATATTGTGCTAATTTGATTATTCTTTTTACAGGTTATACAATAGAGAAATCTTTTTAGCTTATATGTGTATATATCCAGTAACTATGTATTAGTATAGAGTTGCTAACTACTCAAGCGAGAGAGTTTGCGCAATAATTTTACCAGCACGGACTATGTACGTCGTTCATGATGATTGACTTCTGATCGAAAGTGAAATTGGCAGAACAAAAAAGAAAAGAGTCATTTCTTTATTTTTTTTCAGGGTTGAATTAAAAGATACGATTTTATTTTGTGACCCTACTTTTCAATTGTATTCAAATGAACTTTAATGAATTCTCTGTTTTATGATTTCCTACGAATATCGAGGTCAGTCTTAAATATTACGAGATAGATGACTTTTTATTTTCTTGATGATAACGCGCTGTAGATGATTATTTAGCCGAAATATGAATGTGACAATATATAGAAAATATGTTACGCTAGCAACTAGTTGTGTTCTATGTTTCTGAAAGTTCTAGAATTTGCTACTTTCAAGTTGTCTGTCATAGCAAAATTGAGTCTATTATTCATAAAAATGAAATGAATCATCATGAATACTTTCGTAATTCTGCTTATTCTGTTGCTTATGATCATGACTGTTTACATCATGTCTTTCTCGTAGAAATTTTATACAAAAATGTAAGTCAACCTTGTTCAGCATTATGAATTATGCGAGGAATTTAAAATCATTCGAACTACGAAAATATAACAGAGAGTGAACATGACGCGATGCTTGGTTCAGATTGGTAGCACGACTTGAGGTTCGACTGAAAGTGATCTGCAATGACGAACATGATTTAGATACACAAGCCGTTTGTTTTTGCTGCTATTAGCAAGGTTTCTGTCATTAATGCGTATAAGTATATTACTATGTTTTGCCACTATATATTGCATCTAGTAGGCATCCATAATACGGTTTTCAACATGCGGTTGAGTCACGTATGTATAATATTAGAAAAGCGTGAGGAGTCAATATTTAGGTAGTGGATAATCTTGCCAACAGTAACTGCAGAAATAGCTTAACACATTCGCGGCGATGTGAGCCACCGGTGGTTCATAGCATATTTTAACGAGGAACATAATAAAAAACAGTACATTTCTCTTTTTTCTCAACTAATGAATGACGCAAGGTGTGTGTGGGAAGTGTTGATGTAGATGGGTATTGATGAGTGGATGTATGTGTGTATATTCTTTTCACCCATACCCACACCGTGTTGGGAAAATCTTGGATAGGAAATATGGATATTTCCAACACTTGTAAATGTCCTAGGATTCTCCATCTTCACACAAATCTTCGCAAAACGTCGGTCTTTTTTATACAAATGAGAAGAAAGAGTCAAGCATAATGTTACAAAAAGAATGCAAAAAAAAGATTGAAATTGTTTCTTTATCTTGAGTAACTATGCAGTTCGGCGTGAAAGAGGACCGCCTATGTAATAATACAAACAGGAAACAGGAAAAACGAATGGTTACGCATTCTGAAAAGACCAAGGAAGTGTATTTATTGAGGCTGAATAAATATGAAAATGAATATGTTAAAGCTATTTTGCATGAAAATAGAATCGTCACAAAAGTGTTAAAACAATGGCAATACTACGTGTGACAGTCAACTTAATATTACAATTAGATGTCAAGACTCCTTGTAAATATATAATTGAGAATTCGAAGTCAAATGTAAACGTAAACCATGAACAAGTTACTATTCGATAAACAAATAATCAACATGTCAGTCTTTTTAGTATTTCAGATTGTAAAAAAACATATTTCAATCTTTATTTGCTCATCTTAATAGAAATCGATATAGATTGTTAGTATCTTTTGATCTATTACTGTTTATCAGTTACAATCAGAGACAGAGTAATTGATGTTTATCTACTTAGTGGATGTTATGAGAGAGGAAAATTTTATAAATTTCAAGACGCATATATATGATAATTAAAGTAAATGTAGCCTGTACAATGATATGGTAAGTCAATATGAAAAGAAAAGTATATTTAGAAAAAAGAAAAATTGAAAGTACTTTGAGACATTTGTTTAACGAGACTTGTCTCATTTATTATCATAATTTATTTCAATAAAATTGAAATCGAACTGCTGAGTTAACTTTTCCTCTATTTTTAATACGATGGTGCGACTTTCATTAATACTTGAATGCATTGATTA